CCAGCATGCCATGATTTGTAAAGAAACAAAACTGACAGATAAAGTTAGGTTACGTTACTAATTGCAAATGGCGTCCAACCGTAAGAAACTATTCCTTTGAGCGGATTCCCTCCCAATTAGGCGTCAGAATCGGGACCACTTTTATATCACAGAGTTCGATCTCCTTACTCTTACTTCGTGGTTTGTACTCCCCTAGCATCATTTTGGCGCAATCGGTTTGCGGCTATCGCACTCCGTTTGATTGAACAAAGGGCCTAAGTGCACGCTTACGTTAAACCCTTGCACTTCTGTTTCGTTGGTCGTAAGAAGACCGTGTTTGCGGCATTCGCATTGTCTTCAAATATCTAATGGTTGACTTGTGAAACACAATTTAGAAGAAAAAATGCAACAAAAAATATTTTTCCTAATTGTTCCAGAAAAAATACGGTCGGAAAAATTTCCAATTTTTCCGGTAATTTTTCCAATTTTTCCGGCTTTTTAAACCCTAGCCCGACCGTAACCGTGGGCCAGGACGTAACATCCCAATACTTAAATTATCTTGTCCCAGTACTTAAACGCTATTATTAACACGACAATATAGAACAGGAAAAAAATTATTCATTCATTTTATTCCATGAAAAGTTATAGATTTATTACAAATCACTAAAAAATTTGAAGATTTTACAAAACTTTTTAAAAATAAACTTTTTATATTTTAAATTAACAACTTGATAACTTATTTTAAATAAACATGTTTTTAAATAAATGTTCAAGTAAACTACTAATATAATAAATAATAATAATAGAAACGAATATATATATTAGGTTCTTTTTTTTTGTAATTTTACTTTTTTTTATGAATTTTGGATAGTTAAGTTTTCTTTAACTTTTTTCTTGTTTATATACTTTTTTAAGTATATAAACAAGAAAAAAGTGCTTTTGAATTTTCTTTTCTTTCTCTTCAATTCTTTTCTTCTTTCTTTCTTCATTCTTTTGCTGCTTTTCTTTCAGTTTGTCTTTTTTTATGCGCTTTTGTAATTCTTGCATTTGAATTTTTTTTCTTTAACTTCAATTATTTTCTTCTTTCTTTTTTCATTTTCTTGCTGCTTTTTTTTAAGTTTTCTTTTTTTATAAGTCTTTTTAACTCTTGTTCTTGGATTTTCTTTTCTCTTGCTTCAATTCTTTTTTCTTTCTTTCTTCAATTTCTTGTTGTTTCTGAAGCTTTTCTTTTTCTTTTTTTAAATGATATTGAATCCATTCTTCAGAAGTGGCTACTGTTGGGATTTTTTCTTTCGACTTTTTCTTTTTCTCGACTGGTTTTGGCCAAATAAAAACAATTTATTTTTAAACGGTGAAGACATCCGATTTTGTACGTTATTATTACTATAGTTATTATTGTCATCAGTGCTACATTTGACTGCAAAAAAAATTGAATCTTTTTTAGATTATCAATACATTACATATTATAAAGTAAATAAATATTTCAATTTAATAACATAGGATTTAAATGTACAAACCTTGTGAAATATTTATATCTAATATTTTAATATTGGAATCTTGTGAAATATTCGTATCTAATACTTCAATATTAGAATCTTGTACTATTATGATAGGAATGTCTTCATTTTCTAGATTTAGTTCTTGATTTTCAACTAGAACGTAACTATTTTTTTCGCTTACACATTCCGTATTATTTACAGTAATATTACATTCATCATTCACACTCTCAATCATTCTTTCGTCAAAATGAAGCGATAGATTAGAATCTAAAGTGACATTACTATTTTTCGTACTTAATACTGAACTATGTTCTTCTTTGTTTTCTACGGCAACAATTTTCTCTCCTAAATGAATAAAAATGTTAAACTTATTTAATTCTCAAATTGTTAAAAAATATAGTCGTGAAATTTTTTAAATAAATTTATTTACAAAAATATTAAAATATTTAGTTATATTGTTATGATAAAATTAGGTTCAATTCACACTACATTGTTGCTTGATGTTCATCCAGTACATAAACAATCCTTCGTATTGAATTGGTCCAGTCCATGATCCAGTGAGCTCCGCTGATTTGAAATCTTTTAGTATCTCCGAATCAATATTTTTTTCAAACATTTGTAACTGATTATTATATTTGTGTTTATTATTGGTAGAATTCAAATTCATGTCATTGGTCTCGCTCTCAGTGCAGCCAGGTTTCTTATTTTTATTTAATATATTAAAATTAACAGTATTTGCTGAAAAAGGTAGTAATCCACAGGTTTTGAACCCATTTTTAATCATATTTTCTAAGTTTGTTAAAGAGTCGAGTGTTGTTTTCAATACTGGAGCAAAATCTTCTTTTCTCAAACGTTGACCTTCGTTTTGTAATCTCCAATTACTCACAGTCTTTTGCCACGCATTTTTTAAAGGATGGAACACAGATACGTCTAACGGCTGGAGAATGTGGGTTGCGTTGGGATACAATGCAATTAATTCAATTTGGTTACTGCGACAAAACTGAACCAGAGGCAAAGTCAAGTGCGATGAATGACCATCAAGGTAAAGGACGACTGGAAATTTAATTTGATTTTTTATCAGCCATGAATAAAAGATGTTTGAAATATATTCAAAGAATGACTCCGCAGTCATCCATCCCTTTTCAGTCAAGCCAATGCTCCATCCTGCAGGCATTTTCCTGCTTACACTATATGGCACTCTTTGGTACCAATACACAACCATAGGTGGGACCATTGAGCCAGCTGCATTCACCATAAATAATGAAGTCAAGCACTCCTTTTCATCACCATTAGCAATTTTATACACAGACTTGGAACCTTTTCTTACAATAACATAACCTGGTTTTGGACAAAGTTGAAATCCACTTTCATCGCAATTAAAAACTCTCGATGGTTCGATTTCTAGCAAATCTAATTTTCTCAAGTGTTGTTCGACTTCTTTAAACCAATTACGTAAAACCTCCTCTGTTGCTGAAGCACGAGTTGATGTTAACGTTTGAGCTACTCTTGAAGTTAACTGAGGATGACGCCGGAGAAATGCCTCGTACCAGTGACGACCAGGTCTGTTGTTGACGAAAGGAGTTTCTCTCTTCAATTGAACAATTACATCTCTCACACTGTCTAAAAGTTGATTTTTATTTACTGGAAATCCACGTTCACCCAGATACATAATCCATTCTACAAGATTGTTTTCTTCTTCTTTTGTTAAATATGTTCGTGGGCCCTTTCGAGTCATCAAAGGAACAATATTTTTAGATTTTACATAAATTGTGCAGTAGGGAACACCAAATGTTTTACTGGCAACACGTAATGACATGCCTTTTTTGACAGCATCCACTGCATCATTGACGTCGTCTTGATCGTAGTTTTTTTTCTCTCTGCTTTCTTGTTCTTTTGACATTTTTTAAGTTTTTGTCATCCAAATTACTTAAAACAAATAAAAATTAATGTTAATGTAAAAACTATTCAAATTAAAGTTTCATAACCTTTTGATAAGGTTATGAAAACAAGTCATCTACTTTATCATATAATATTTAAATATTTTAGTTAAAATATTATTATTTTAGTACGTTTAAATAAAATGAAACTATAAAAACACAAAACTACTTACTGATTTGTTGCAAATTATGTTTTGTCGCACAAATATCACTCAATACGTGTATGCAAGACTAACTACGCTATGATGAATCAAGTGTTTAACAACTCCGCCACCGGCAGATTCTCGTACCAGTACATAAATACGATAATTTAATTATTATAACTAAAAATTAAAGATAGAACAAAGTTTTTTATCAATCTATAGTCTATACTGAGTTTGAAAAATCTTTGCTGAACAAAAAGTTTATTTTGTGTATTTAATTATAACCTTAAGAAGAATATACTTTGTCTTACGCAAACCGCTAACGTAAGAGTTGAAAACGCAATAAATTTGCTACTCTCAAAAACTATTTTTTTCTTTATCACATCTACTGTTTAGAAAACTTTTATTACAATGTTTTAATAATAAAACAATTAAAAATATTAATAAAACTTTTGATTATTGTAAATATCAGGAAAATAGTTTAATATAAATGAAAATTCGAGTGAGTGTTTAAGTACTGGGACACGTTTAATCACTGGGACATTTACCTTAACGGTTGTATGATGAATGCCGAAGCGCTTCGCAATCTCTCGAGTTGTTAAGTGTCGATCACTCTTCACTGTAACCAGGAGTTGATCGTCGTTAACAGAATTTGGCCGTCCAGAGCATGGTGCATCTTGGAGGTTAAATTCTCCGGAACGGAAGCGAGCAAACCATCTTTTGCATGTGTCTGCGCTTAAGACCGAGGCACCATATATGATGCATATTTCGCGCTTAGCGTCCGCCGCTTTATATCCTTTACGGAATAAAACAGCAAAATATAGCGAAAATGCAATTTTTGATCTTCCATTTTAGTTGTATGCCGTACACGCATAACACATCCGACCAAAACAAACACTTCTGCCAAATGTCAAGCGTAGTGTGACTTGTCAAAATATGTGCGGCAGACTGACATTTGAACGACACGCGATAATTATTTTCTGACACTAGTGTCATCTATTAAAAAATCCACAGAACTTTTCCACCAACCCAATATTATAAAACCACACAGCACACTTTATCTTGCGGATATCTCAAACTGATCCGGATTTTCAAGTGCAATCCCAGAGATATCCCAATAAGTAATTTCCGGGATATTACGATAAAATATATCATGAGATATTTTACGCAAAGCCAAGAGATATAGCAGGATATCTTTTGCACATTATGAGATTTATTTCAAATATTCCAAATATATCTCATAGATATCTCTACTGGATAATTCAAAAAATATCCAAATAATATTCGGTAGATATCTTTTTTAAACATTTGTGCTGTCGGACATCTGTAAACATAACATATTTTATCTTGAGAATATCGTAAAATATTTCAGAGTGTAAACGCAATCTCAATATAAATTCATATATGTACAATACTTTAGTTATATTATTACTATAATTTTAAATCAATATTTCCAATATTTTTATATTTAAAAAATAAGCTTATATATAAAAGTGTCTAAAACTTATTCAAACATCTGAAAACGTAGAACGTCTTTATACATTTGTCTTCAAATTATATTATATCAACAAAAACCACTTTGTGTGTGTATAACATTTTTACTATATAAATACTTACTATATACTGTTATTATATATAATAAAAAAGATACATATAAATGTGTATACATATTGTTATATATCACACACATTTGATATATATTTATTAAGAATTGACTATAATAAAAATCAGTATATGTTAATAAAACATTTGTTCACGTTGTAATAATATATTTTAAATTATATTTAATAATAATAATAATAACAACAACAACAATAATTACAATAATAACAATAATAATAATAAAAATATTTTTATCCATTGTTGTAGATACATTGCACTGCAATAGTTTTAATAAACTAACAACTTAAATACATAATAAATGAAATGTGTAGAATAGCTTGATAATGAGTAGATAAAAGAATTACATTTCAGTGAAGAACAGTGGTCTCGCGGACAGAATGCAGGAGTTACGAATATGGAAGTTTCGAGTTCAAGTCCTATCATCATTACAGGATTTTTTCCGAGTCGCGGTATCTTTCATCGAGTTCATCAGTTGATCGGTAAACAGAATCAGGTCTCTAAAAATTAATTTGTGTGAAATCTTTAATTAATTTTTTTTTTTTACAAGGCAATGTGTCAGATTTTTTTTTATATATCATCGTAATTTGACCAGTATCAGGCTGCTCTTCAAACCCTGATGAAGTGAGCTGTAATGTTCACGAAACGTCTGTATAAAAATGACACTAACGCGGTTCAAACCCGAAAAAACATCTTTGTATGTTAATATCATCGTAATATTGCTGTAATGCATTTCATGCATATTACTGTGATATTACGTGCTATGTGGGATTATATCGTACGATATTTCTTGAGTTCTCTCGGATATTCTTTGAACATCATCAGTTATTCGTAAGATATTACTAAAGCGGACATTAGTACAACTTATGAACATCTCTCAGATATCTGAGACCATTTTGGGATGTCTTATGGATATTGCGATATAATAATATCTGTAAAATATCCCTACGATAGTGTGTTGTGTGGGTATATATAAGTATATATTTTTTAGATTAAAGTATTATATTTGTGTTCAAAAAAATACAATAGTGTGTATATATACATATATATATATATATATATATGTGTGTGTGTGTGTGTGTGCGTGTGTGTGTGTGTGTGTAAAATTAAATACAATACTTTAACAATTAATAGAAAATCTTTTGGGCTCTGAAGTTTTTTAAATTATAANATTTTTTTCTATTATTTATAATAAAGGAGTAATTATTGAGTAAATCAGGCCAATCAGCGCAGATCTTTAGCCAGGCGCACGTGAGTAAGCCGCGCGCCTGATGTGTGTGAGTGCTCACTGACGTGTACCTGGCTAAAGGTCTGCGCTGATTGGCCTGATTTACTCAATAATTACTCCTTTATTATAAATAATAGAAAAAAATGGTTCAGGACTTTTCGACTCAGTTTTACTCCTTCTACCTGCCTACGAGAGATTGTACGGCAATTCTGGGACACCCTGTATATAATTAAATACAATATTTTAAATAACTTTGATGAGTGATGAACACAAATACAATATTTTAATTTAAAAAAATATATTATTTATATATAGCTTTATATTATATATTTTAGATATAAAATTATTGCAAACTTTTGTTTATAAAAGTTTCCCTTATTTCACATATCCTTTCATATGTTTCATCCTAAAACAGAAAAAACATCTTGTATAAATATATTAAAACTCTTAAAAACTACACGTATTTACTTTTAGACTTCCTATAACGAGCCTATATCTTAATTGTTATCAGGTTTTTTTATATACAATAAACTAGTATCAAAAATTATTTTATTATAATATTTTATTACTAAGATATATAATTATTATTACATTACAAAATGTCATTTTTGTAATGATTCTAAAATATTACTGGTATATTGCTACAAGTGTGCTAATATTTTGCGGATTTATATCTCTGCAATGTCTTTGAAATGTTGCATTGTAATTGCAATGTTGCAACGTTGCTGCAATATAGTTGCAATGAACTGTGCTGTATGGGTAAACATGTCCGACAGCACAGATGTTTAAAAGATATTTACCGAATATTAGTTGGACATTTTGATATATTCAGTAGATATCCATGAGATATATTTGGAATATTTAGAATAAATCTCAGAGTGTGCAAAAGATATCCTGTTATATCTTTTGGCTCTGCATAAAATATCTTACGATATCTTATTGTAATATCCCGGAAATTACTTATTGGGATATCTCTGGAATTGCACTTTAAAATCCAGATAATTTTGGGATATCCGCAAGATAAAATGTGTTGTATGGGTTTTAATTACATAGGATATTTAATGTAATTTAGAGATTTTAGAATTTTTAGAGAATTTAGAATTTTTAAGTAGTATAAAAAAATATAAATGTTCACTGGATGTTTAAAGAATATTTACTTTTTCTTGTCTATTATCTATATTAGATGTTGGTTTTTTAAAAGACATCTACATATGTTTTCTGGGAATTAGTAAAAATAACAATTAGAAAAAATTATATAAACAGATGTGTGGTAATTGGCTGTTTGGAGCAGACACAGATGTTGATGTGTATATTCAAAAATGTGTATATTCAAAAATTTATTGCTATAGATTATGCAAATTTATTACAAAGCTTTCGACCTTTGGTTTAGGTCTTTTTTGAATCTCAACTCCCCTCAGTCACTTTGTTACTGTTATAAAGTGATAGTCAAGTTCTGGTCCTACCACCGACTAGTTACCACTAAATGACGACCATCATTCTTTGTTTGTGAGTTTTTTGTAAGTTTTTACTAAGTTCTACTAATTGTAACGTATCCTTTATTGCGAACTATTTATTTTATATTTTTTGTAGTACAACATTAAGAAAGACCTGAACCAAAGGTCGAAAGCTTTGTAATAAATTTGCATAATCTATAGCAATAAACCATTTTTGAATATACACATCAACATCTGTATCTGTTCCAAACAGCCAATCACCACACATCTGTCTATATAATTAAAAAATTTTTGAGCTATCTTTATTGATTTCTATTATTAATTAGAAAAAAATTATAAAAATATTATAAAAATATATGTATATTATATATATTATTTTTTCATACCACAACTTTCTCACGTACATTCAAAATACATCTAAAGGACATCCAGAGAACATTCTCTCGTTTTTACGACGGTTTTTGAACATATTTTTTTGAACATAAACGATCAAGTTCTGTTAAACTTTATTATATTTATTTGACGGATTTTATATCATCTTTTTAAAATATTTTTATTGCTTTTCTGTACAAGAATTTCTGTACAACCATACTATTACATTATTGGCACAAAATTACTGCTGATATTTGTGCCGAGGATAGCTAGTAATATTTTTTGTAAGAGAGTCGTTCACATTCCAGAGAGAATATTGTATTTTTTCATTTAACCCTTTAAATATCGTTGAAATTTCGAATTTAGAGGTAGAGGTTTCTTATGTTTCTAAAATTGGGGGTACTTTGGTAATTAGGTCCAATAGCCTCGCGGTCTGAGTGCAAGGGCTACGAACAAGGAGATCACGAGTTCGAATCCATTTAACATCTTAGGATTTTTTTCGGATCGATTCTTTCTAATCAAGTATATAAGAGCTGAAAGGCTTAACAGTATCAAATCTTCAAGAAGAAATAAGGGTGAAAAACATTTTTTACAAGAATGCCGAGTAATATTACTATTGTTAATATACAAAATAAGGATGAAAAATATTTCTTACAGAAATGCCGAGTGATATTACTATTGTTAATATATCAGTAGTTCAGTAATAAAATTTTATGAGAGGATCCTGATAGCCAAGATTTCTTTTGCGCAGATCGACGGTTGCATAGGTTCCGTTTGCACAGGAAATTTCTGCGCATAGTCGTCATTGTACAAACATACTATAGATTAGGTTCGATTAGATTGTTTCGGGAAGAGGTTGCAGGGGGAGGGGCGGAGCCTCTTCCCCGCCCACATATATAGTATAGTGTGTGATATAAGCAAAATATTTACTTCGCAAATGTAATAATAACTATGCGCAATCGGAATCTGCGCAAAAATTTTCTGTGCAAACGGGATCTAGGCAAACGAAACCTATGCAATCGTCGATCTGCGCAAAAGAAATCTTGGCTATCGGTGCCCTGCCAAATTTTATTATTTTTCTGTAAGAGTTCTAAACAATTACC